TGATGCGGTTTTAATGAGCACTCTATAGAGATGGCCAAAAAAATAAAACAAGGGAATAACTTTTGGCTGGTTTATGCTCTGCCACATCAATCATAATTAGGTTGCTTGTGTGTGGTTTTCTGGATTCATGGCTTTGGGATGTGCCCAAGATGGTTTCCATTCTTTAATTGTGACAGATATGGGCACGGGATTGATTCGGAAAAGGATATTTTTATTAGCATCGAGCGTGAGATTTTTGCGATTATCTTTTATTTGCTGATAATTCTTTGATGTTATTAAATATGCATTTGCCTTCAAAACTGTGCTAAAATGCTTTGATTCTTTGCTTCAATCTTTGGACTCTATTCTCCTCAAGTTAATTCACTTTAAGCCCGCTTTAACAGGATCATTTCTTACATGCCTTACCCTCACCCTTTTACGCTCTACATAGACATTAATCTTTCACACTCCTTGCCAGCCTCGAGTCCATTCAAATGAGTCAATGCCCTAATCTCTTGGCCTCATGTGAGGTCTTTTGCAACGCCCAGAAATGTTTTGGTGTGTGGTGCACGTCTAGGGTTTCTTCTCTTCGCCTTATGCTCCTCCTGCCTCATACCCCTTGATGATGCCATGGCGAAAAAGGATATCGTTCGCTTCGTGGTCTTTTTTGGTAGGTGTTGCTAATGAAGCGTTGTGTGCGGTCTCTGGAAATTTGAGAGGCGTCAACAGGCGCTAAATCCGCTTACGTTGTGACGGAAGAAGAGGCTCTCCTTCGGCCCGTCTTGGACTTATTGCTTTATTTGAGTTGTTTGGAGTTTTGCGCTAAGTTTAGTTTGGGATGCGGTTACTGCCGCTGGTTGCGTGACACTGGAGACAGAAGCCAGAGGCTAAATGGCTTCGTTGCATTTAGTATTCGTTTTCGATACTTAATGAATTCACATTCCGTTCGATTCATTTGCCAGCTGACTCCTCTGCTCTGTGGGATGACTTTGACCTTATGTCGTCGTCGCACGCAGCCCAATTGAAACGTTTAATTGCATCAAGCAGGACTCAGGACACACTGTAGTTTCTGGGGGCCATTGTCATTAGCGTAATTAGATCTTTCAGTTCAGTTCAGTTGCAGACTTTAGCTTGGCGTGTCCTTCTCGCTGTAATTTCTGTTCTGTTCTGTTCTGTTCTGTTTTTTCCTTTCTTTTTTTCTCCACTAATTTTGATGCCATGGCACGTGGAACGTGCGCAATTTGTTTACCATCAACATAATTGGCTTGTCCATCGTCCCGGGGTCTCGCGTCTCGGGTCTCGGGTCTCGTCCCCTGGGCCCACTTCTGACTTTTTTAAGCGCTTTTTTATTTCATCGGGAAAGTCTTGGCACCGGACAATTAGTTGAAATGATTAAGCTGATGCGCCTTACTCCTCGACTCCCACTCTGACTACCGCTCAGTCTCTGAGGCCAACTCTCTTTGGTAATTACATTAGCGTTCGATAAATTAACCGCCACGCACTCACTTAAATTGCCTCGACTCGGCCATCTATCATAGGGATAATACGAGTGCCCATCAGGACCACCAAAATTCGATCACCGCAACAGCTGCGATGCCTCGGCTTGTGACAAGCTCAGACAATGCGGAACTGTTTTCAATTGGCCTTATTCAAATATTGTGAATCCTCGTTGGTTCGTTTGCTCGTTTGTTTGTCGGTTTGTCAATCACGGCCTGCCACAGCTCGTCACATTGATCGATCTAGTTCAGAGGGATGTTCCGGGATGTGGAGTTTGGATTCCCATTCCCTCTGTTTACCACACGCCACCCAGGCCACACATTTGGAGGAGGCTGACGATGATCGATCACACACATTTTCTCAGTTTCTGCATTGATTTCGCTCAGTGTCATGCGGTAGAGAGAACTACAACTCGATCACTTGGTAATGATGGAGCAATTGTTCTCAATGATTTTGTATTATTTTAGGGAACAAAGATTAGAAAGTTGGTCCATGATTTAAGCTTTACATTTTCATGTATCCATCTTTGTACAGCATTTTTATTGCCCGATAAATGTAATAACTTAAAACCCCATCCCCTTCGAAAAGCCCCGCCTTTAGTTGTCCCTTCTTTTTTATGGACCCTTGGCCCACTCGCTGCCTAAACGTTTACAGCTCCCCGAGCGGCTTCAAATAATTTGACACTTGACTGCTCGACTTGGTTATACGCATTCGCGTATAGAGAACATTTTGTTGATGTCAACTTTATGACTTACAACTCTTAAAAAACCACACCACACACCCCCTTCCAAATGCACATAAAAAAGTAAATCCCACGCAGGAAAACTAATTAAAAATACCTTTTTTGGGGCGACAATAAAATTTATGAAAATTAACATAAAAATTTGTGTGCGATTAACTCGAAAAGGCACGCACCGCACACAGAGAGAGAGAGAGACATTTTGGCCATATGGAAAATCACATAATAAACAAAAACGGAACAAGAACAAGGGCAATAAAAGCAAATATGGCAACACACGTGCGGGTGTGCGGCAGAGGGTAGAGCTATGATGGGGGAAAGTGGAGGTGGGAGTGGAAGATGATGATGGGGCTTGCTTATCATTTGCCTCAATATACGAGTATGACTTTCTGTCGGTTGCGACACAGTTGAGACTGACTTTGGCGACAACAAGTCACGACAGCAGCAGCAGGGAGGACAGGAGCAATAATAACGGAAACGGGAGCAACTTCAACGGATATGACAGCAACTTCAATCAGCGAGAAGGCTAGACGCAGGTGCTGAAACTTTTGATACCCTTTTGCAGATTGATTTTACATGTACTGAGAACTTATCTCTTACATATGGAATGGAATTTCCACTCAATTACATTTTTGACTAACTTTCATGCACACAAAATATTCTTTCTGACCAAATCATAATTCCCCCCCTGCGAGGGTACAACAAAAGTAAAGCTCTCTGGCGCATCCAAAGCGATTAGGCTGATTGGAGTCAGTGTCTGTGTGGCGGGATGAGTCGTGATGGGGGTGGTTCCCAGTCTGGTGCGCCAGTTGGCGCTACCCGAAGGTGGACGAGTATATGAAATACACAATATACGGAATCTCACACGCTCGCATTATGAGTAATGTGCACCTTATGCCGCCGCCAAGTCGAATGTGATTAGGGGAAACAAACTGCCTGCCTGCTTTGTTTTCAGCTGGAAAATCTGTTTAGAGAATTTTATGGGCTTTATTAACCCCTTGACTGATGATGTGGTGGTCGCTGGCTGCTGTTTGGAAATCCAAATATTATGATGGCATCATTTACACGCCGCATTTCCGATTCAAGTTCTGATCTCTGATCTGATCTGTTCCAAGGGGGTTGCTACGAGTAGCTCTGATCTCATCCACTGGGGGTTGTTAGTTTTATGTGCCTTTTTGTATGGTTTAATTTGATTTTAGAGGATTGTTTGGGATCTCTATGAAAGCAGCTTAAAGTGCTAGAGGATATTTTGTGGAAAATCAAACCAAAATTAGCCACAGTTTCCCAACACAGCCCCTCGCTTCCCACACAAATGTCGACCCAGCGTCTGATAGACATTAGACTTTGGGCGAAGCTCATCAAAATTAATTTTATTGCAAGCCAACAACTTTCCACAAAAAACAACCAAATGCCAATTTCTAAACGTTGTTTGGGGCGGAGGAAAACTTTTGGCTAATTAAACGCAAATTGTTGTGGCGGCAAATTGCGAAAAAATTGCCAAACTTTGTCGCCAAGCTATTAAAAGCCTTTTGTCACAAAAGTTTATGGTCTCACAGTCGCAGAAAAAATGGAGACAGAAAAACGGGTTAATTACACGACAGAGAAGTGTGAGGGTTTGGGCCGGGCCAAATGACATTCTGTACTTTTCTGGCTTTTATGTCAAAGCCATAAAAATGTTTTCGGCACTGAAAGAGATGACAAGAGAGACTGAGAGAGAAAGAGAGAATGCTGCTGCAGAAACAAATATGGCGTCGGGTGCTTCCTTTGGGGTTTTTGGCCCACTTGAATGGCCAAGTATGTGTTGACACTGGCATGTAGTTGTTGTAAGTAACGATGGCACCACCGGGCGAAGCAGTAGCCCAAGCAGTGGGGGAGGGGCAGGTGGTGTGGACTGTGGGTGGCTGAAAGGAGGTGGTGTCCGTGTGTCCTTGGTGTCCTCCTCTTTGGCGTCGCTTTGCGCAAATTTGCCACTTCAACAGCTCCTTGCGGATGCCGTAAGCACTCTTGTGAACGAGCTCTGAGCATTTTCATTTATTTTCCTCGCATTTTCTTTGGACTCTCACTCTCTCGCTCTCTACCTCTCTTCTTTGCTTTTTCTGTTTCTCTGTCTGTGTGCTTGCCACACCCACTCGGAGGAAGGACTGAGGAAGCCTTAGAGAATTTATGCTTCTGCATTTTTATTCCAGTTGTTTCCCCTTCGACTCCTTGGTGCTGGCTTCGATTTTTTGGCAACTTGGAAAGTTGTGAAACGATGCTCACGGAATTTTAAACAGGCAGCAGCGACGACTCCCTTTACGTTTTAGGGGCAGGTCCTTGGGTGGCGCTTTGCGTTGGAGTTTTGGTTAGTGGCGACGGGATGGGGGGTTTTTTGTGTCAATATTGTTACAGCGGCAGCGGAATATGTGCTGTGAATTTTAAATTGGTTTTCTCTGGCTTCGCTGAGTTGCTTACATAATCAGCAGGGAAAACTTTCGTCTGATTTTGGAGATTGTGTTATCTAGACCCAAAGTTTCAATTGAAACAAAGGATTTCGTAAGTAAACGAGAGAGCGATTCCTCAAACGGGTTAGTTAAATATACGAAAAGGTGTGTGGGATCATATTTGTGGTGTGATTTTCTATAATTTATCAGTGTAAAATGTATCACAGATAACTGTAGACCGCTAAGGATAGATACGCAATACTGAACCGATGTCATGCAAATATAAAATAATATTGTGGAGAGATGTCAAAAGTCCAACTCAAAACCTCCATCGCTTTAGCTTTGTTTTTTGTGCAATTTCCATGTGCTTTCATCCATATTTTCAGTTTTTGTTTGGAAGTGTACGAGTACACTTGAAATTTGTTAGTTACAAATTTTTAGTTTTTTAAATTTCTTTTTTTGGCGAAGCTTAGAGGTAAACTAACAAAAGGATTTCGCTTCAACAGCAAACATAAATGATTCATTGAAATCTTATTTAGATGTTCCGATTCGTGAATTTGCTTTTCCATTGTCTGACTGTCCTGTGCCCTGTCGACCTTCAGCAGCATAATTATTCAGGTCGTTGTGGAAAATGCTTTAAACAGGCAGCTGATCGGCGAGCGATGGTCGTCTCTTCCAGACTTCGCCTTGTGTCCAGCTCCGTGAAGCATGAAGGATTGTTCAGAAGTATAAATTGTGATATGAATCGTGGAAGCCAGAGTACTCTTAAGCAAACTGCAGAGTGATCAATTACGTGGGAGAAGCTCTCTTCTCCTGCATGTGATTTTGAATATTTATTTTTTAAAGGTAAGTTGTCCTTTGTGGTTTCAATTACTCAACCTTTCTCTTCACAGTTCGCCGTATGCCCAGCATTTCTTCGATCTTGGCGTTATTACGATTACCAGTGGCCTGTGGGCCCTGGCAGTTTTTGAACTTTTCAAAAACCTGGGACTGCTTATGCTACAAGAATTGTTCCAGTGCACAGAAGGCCAACATAGTTCGGCATCGATGGTGCCAGATATTTGCTCGGGATAGCTCCCAGCGCTGGAGCAAATCTAGAAGCAGACAACCATGCTGTAGAAGGAAGCCGTGAAGGAAGGATCGCCTCTGCTGCCGGTAATGTTGTGGCATAAACAAAATATGAATTACATATATGAAAAGTAAGATTTAAGATGTGGATCTACTTTGAAACTCAAATATAAGACCTCCCAAATAATTTCCATTAACTTTTCTTTCACAATTCCCACCTGTAAACGAGTGCCAGCCAATTACACGCCCTTTCCCAAGCCGAACAGTAGGCAGGAAAATTGTTTATTACATTTCGAAAAATGGTTGCAACCACCCTCTGTCCCAGCCCCCGCCCCTGCTCCCAGCGAATGACCAACGAAAAACAATTACAGCCAAAAAATGAGATACTATACGTAGAAACAGACGAACAGACATACTCGTATATAGAGACCGACACTTGGGCTTATCTGAATAATTTATGGTTAAAATCAGACGCAACCGCTGCTTCGGTGGCTGCCTCTCCTGTGGTTGTTGTTCTTTTTGGGAGTTTGGGAATTGCACCACGTGGTGCGGGCCAACACCACTCCACTCCACTCTACTCCACTCCAACGAAATGCTAATAGGCGCCACCCAGAAAACACACAAAAATTGTAAAACAATTAAAATGTAATAAGCAGAGGGGTCAGCTCTCAAAGTCAATGGGCGGCACTCGCCCAAGCCGTTTTGCCTATTCCGTTTTCCGTTTCATTTTTTTAGAGGGTGTGGGTCTGGAAAATAGAGTAATTAATAATCTTGACTGTCCGAGGCAGGTAACGCCTTTATTAGGCAAGTACACGTACTGGTCGAAACAAATGATAAACAGTTTTTCTTGCACAAGCTGGAACCAAAAAATGGACCAAAGTCCGAATCCGCGACGAAGTTGTCAGACCTGTCAGAGCCGCTTGGCGCCAAGGATGTCAGCGGATGCTTGGGCAGAGCCCCTGCCGAGCTTTTGATTGACACTTGACATTTGCCTGGCTCTTGCAGCTAACGGAGCTTTGCCGCAGTTGTCTTGACATCGTGACTGTGTTGGTTTCATTGCTCGGAGTTTTGGGTTTGCCAGATGAAAATGTGTTGATAGTGGGTAGAAATTTGTTTATTTCAGGGTTTGTTGCCTAACTGGGTTGGTTGTACAGTAAGATCAGATTGGGACGAACAGTTGGATGTACCGTTCAGGTGGAATTATGATGTTCAAGCGAGCAAAGAGTGTGCAACATTTGGAAAGCATGAGCAAGATCTAAGATAGAAAATGGAAGAGTCTTTCACAAAAGAAATTTGTACAGAGTAAGGCATTTTTATTTTATTTCTATCTTAAATGTATTTTTATGTCTCAGCTAATTTCCGAATAAATATATTCTTTAAACAGCTTTTTGCTGTAATCCCAGAACCAACCGAAGTATCTCTGTTTTCACATTCACCATAACTTTCCAGGCTGTATCCGTTAATCATCTCGCTGACCGAAGCCCTACAAAACCCCAAGCGTTGAATGCACGTGGCAACCCATAAAGCCCATATGAGTTTATACCCCTATATGTACACGTGGCAACAATCTACAAACACATATGTACACACATAAATAAGTACCTACACATAACCATGAACCATTCAGACTGACTCTCGGAGGCAGGAGCTAGTATCAGAGTGAAAGGGACACAGCGCAGACAAGCCCAAAGCGTCAAGTTGTGAAGCTGTGTGCAAAAAATCATTAACACGCACACGGACACACAGAAAACCAAAACCCCCAGCATGGTTGGGTGGCTGTGGGTGGCGGCCATGGGGCAACCTGGGCTAGCTGTCCCTCTCGCGCTGCTCGGGAGCGACTCCTTCTGGTGCAGTCGGGGGGACTGGGCGAGACTTGCTTAAATTACTTGGGTTTTTACATGCGGCAGTGAGGCACATTAACACTGTAATGTGCAAAAAGTGTTCCTCTCCACCAGTGTGTGTGTGTGTGTGTGTGTGTGTGTGTTTGTGTGTGCCTGTGTGCGAGGGAAAACAACATGGCGTCCTGGTAGCCTCTGTGTCGTTGTAGTTGTAGTCCGAGTGGCACTCATTGTGATGCAGAAAGGGAGCTGGAAAAGGGTTTATGCGCTGGCAGTGATCATAAAAAAAAAGAAAGTTGGTTCTATGTGAAGGTTTTCCGGCTCGTGTTTCATCTCCAAACCCCTTTGGATTCCCTCCCACTTATCACTGATTCTAAGCATTGTCGCCGCATAAACCACCAAGGCTCCATGGTATGCCTGGTGGGCGTCAGATACTTTTAGTTAAGATTAATTGTTATATATTAACATGGCGTCGAGTTACGAAGTCTGCGAAAACGAGCTATTTACAAGCTAAACGAAAGTTGACTTTGCCCAAACGACCACGAGGATTTGGGAGTGGAGCGGCGTGTGGATGCTGCTGCTGATGATGATGTTGATGTAAACGTTGTCTCCTGCCTAGAATCGCAGTGAAAGTGTCTGGAAATGAGGCTGAGCGGCAGCACCCAGAGAGAGTGAGTGCGCTTGAGAAACTTTAATAAACAGTAGAAATATTCAAGTCAGTCTGCTGTTTATGGCATATGTATCTGGTGTGTGTGTGTGTGTGTCTGTCTGCTAGATTTATGTTTGCCCATTTTCGTGTTTTATCATCAGCTGCTGCTGGCGCTGGATCGGGAGTGGAATTATTCATGTTTTTCGCAATGTTACTCATACGCCGCGTACTCGCATGAAAAGGGTTCAAAATGGCTGCCATTCTCTGGGCCTATTGCGTTTGAATTATGAGCCAAAAAGGGTCGACTCTGCGGCTCTTCCTCTCTCCATATATCTTTTCGTATTATGGTTTGACTATACTTTTGCTGGGACTCTGTAATGGAGGGAGAAATGTGCCCTCGAATGTGGTGCGAAAAGGGAATTTTTCTGATTTATAAGTGTGGAAAACTTCTGAAACCCATTTAAGGGATTAAAATTGGGTGTTCTCTCTAGCCTTTACATGGAATTGGCTTGCTCTACTACATTTCGAATCGATTATGGTCTTAATTAGCTTTCTCAATGGCTATCCGAATCACATTTTAAAATGTTCAGTGAATATTCAAGCCACATCCCACTTTTATGTCTTCGGCTATAACAATTGAGTGTTATCTATCGCTGCGACATCTTGGCATATGCTGAAACAAACCCGCCACTCCCGCAGCCCATCCTTTACCCTCAATCCATCCCCGACAACTGTCGCATTTGGAACCACAAACAAATTTGTCGACGACTTGGGGAGATGGAACCCGCCATCAGCTCAAGAGCATATTGACAATGCTAACTGGAAGTCAATACGGAAATGGTTAGTATCTTTTGTGTTCCTTCTCCTGCCCCGCTCCGTATCCGTTTGCCACTGCCTCAGCCACCACCCACACTCAACGCGCTGTCACTTTGGGCGCAAATTTCGCCATTTCCACCCTCGCTAATGTGCAAATAAAAATGTTAAAAGGGTCCTGTAGCACTCAATTACACGCCCTGGTGACCATCTCTCCCTTCCGCTTCTGCCTCTCTGGCTCTCTTCCTCGCCCAACTTGCCACTTGCCACATACAGCGGTAACTGCGTGACTTGCCTCTGTATGCTGTCCGACTGTGTGTGTGTGTGTATATGCTAAGGCTTCGCTTTGCTGCAGAGAAAACATTATGGCGCGCGAACGGAAGTTGCCATCTTGTTGATGGCAGTTAAAGATAAGCGAAAGCGAACAAAAAACCCAAGCAGGACGCGACTTTTTTGTATGTTTCGCTGGGCTTTTTGGGGTATATTGGGTTTTTGGTTCAGCAAAGAATTGTGTAAAGGTTAAATACAAATTCAATAAAACGCAAATCAAATCTATTGAATATTTATAACTAATCTGTTCAACTTTCCCCTTTTCCATGGTATCACTTGATAGACTCTCCTGAAATGTTTCATCTCTTCCTTTTACCATTTGGTCTGTTAGATTTTCATGGTTTTCCGCGCTTCTCGCTGCTTGGCTGCTTTTTATTGCCGTGCATTTTATGTTATTTGTTTCTATTTTCGGTGTCTTTCCACTTTCGTTGTATCTTTCCCTTCTTGCGTCGGCCATGTTGGCAGTTATCTCTTTGTTTCTGTTTTGTTTCCTGCTGCCCCATCCGCCTGCCCTTCGCCCATTCCTAGCTCCACTGGGTAATCCTCCTTCTGTCTTTGGCATTTAAGTTTTATGGCTGTTTGTTTCGTTATTTCTCAGTATTTTTTCCACTTTGCGCTGCGCTCCTAATTTGCAATTTTGTATGGAGACATGGACGACGACGCCTTAAAGCGGTTTTGTCATGTCATTTGGTAATTGGGTGGCAGCGGTTGGCACTTTATATATTTCGCCGCCAGTTGGCAGCGCTCTCGCCTCCATTCTGGTCACACATGGTCACACCGGCCGCTGGGCTAGCATGATAAATGTGACCGCTCTTGGAGGAGTGGGACGTGGGAGCCCCTGACGACAGTTTCGATATCTAAATTTGTTTTTAACGGAGGAAAGACCCCTATCTTAAAGTTGCTTTAGAAAACCTCTGGGAGTCGTCGCCCACTCTCGGTCGAAGCATATTTTGTATAATTTTGTACGCCATATTTGGCCAAATGAAGTGCCCCATAAAGTCCACGTTTTTACAGCTCGTAAAAAAAGACAAGAATCGAACTTCAACGCCGCCGCAAAGCGTTCGATGTGTGTATAAATAAGAGGTCCGTTTAAAATCAATAAATTATAATTAAATTATAAGTTAAGCGAATGCTAATTTGTGCAGGAATTGGGAACGTTGCACGATATCTGGTGGATACAAAAAAATACTTAAAATTGGAATTGGCAGCAAAACGCCCCCCTGCGGCGTTTGTCGACGCATTCGCGAGACATTTTTGTATGGATTTATTCGGTAAACTTCTTTGTACGCAATGTAAATGCATAAAAAATTCATAAAATTAATCTTGGGGGCATAAAAATGACACTTAAAATTGGCAAATTAAACTGTACATAAACTTCGATGAAAATGTAAAGTTATCCGGTGATTATTACAAGTTTCAGACAAAGAATAGAAGGAGCTTTAAGCCCTATAAAATTCGAGAAATGTATCCTAAAATTGATTTTCTCTTGATTTATTTTTCCTCCAAAGCATAGACAAACAAAGATCTCAATTATGTTAATAAGTTTCACGCCCATCC